AGTATATTTAAGGTAAATCAGCTGCAGAATACGGGCTAAAAACGCGTTTGGGCCTTTTATCTAGTGCCTGGGCTGCTAGTATAGTAATTTGCAACATCAATATATATGCGCCACACAGTAAGTGACCTCAGTTCTCGACACTCGTCAAGTAATCCACGCACCAGCCATGCAACACTTGAACTTGCTTGACAATCACTTATAAGCAACCGTCACATCTCACACACAGGGGGTGGCATATGGAGTAATAAGGCGTTACAGACACTGTAAGGCGTGATTGGTCGCAGTCCACCTCAAGCCTGGGGTTCGTCCCGCGGCCAGCCGCTGGCTTAAGGCCAGCGACACAACTGTCATCCCAGACAGCAACTTCGGGTTTTGAAGATAATAAAACTCCCCTCCCCGCCCCCCTCGGGTGACTTCCACCTTAATGCCCTTCCCGTTGTGTTCTTCCTTGTTTTACAAACAAGGCGTACTTAGCCAGCGACACTACAGCTGTCACCGTTACAACACCATATACGTGATCTTTGCCAAAAATTGTAGTTTAAAAATAGTTATAAAACTCGTTTTAATACCGACATCCATAAGCTCTTGGAGGTTGCTTTCGTAGTATAGAGGTGTACAAAACCCGACACCAGCTCTGTTATAAACCTAAACTGTGGTTTTGATAGTAACTCTAACTTCACTCTCCACCTTTCTTCTGCAGTTAATCTTAATCCTATCCTTAACCCTACTCTTAAGCCCAGTCGTGTACGTAAACATAACCCCTAATCTGAAACCTGACCCTAATCTAACTGGAATTTCAAACGAAGCCACAGGCATTGTGGTTGGTTCCTGAGCTCATGTCCTGTTGACGTAATCGTTGCCAAAAAATGGAATTTTAAGACCGTTACAAGCTCTTTTTAATGTGGGTATCCATAGGTACTTGAAGTCTGCTTTTCAACTCAAAACATTATTTGAGTCCTCTAAAAATACTTTAGTAAGTAGGTAAATGACATTCACCGCATTTCCTTCACACTATTTCCTTCTGTGTTTCTGATAGTGGATGATTACCTCCTTAACTTTACCAATAGACCAATGGAGTGAAAACTCGAAACAGATCAGGCAGAAGTTACCCTGCCGCCTCACTTCTCAGTTGCCTAAACGTATGGCCGTGTTGAGTGTGGTGTCTGGTGAACGTTGGTCCTCTCTTCCAACCCATGGTCGGCATTAGAAAAGGTGAACCAATGATGAACGCTCGCTAGTGAAAATAAATTCTATAAGTGAAGTCAGAATACCTCATGTCGCGCCTTGGTACATACTCGCGCCATGTTCATTCTTCAGATAAAAGTGAAAGAATTCAAAAGAACCGCACAGCCTACGCTTGCCCACGACCTGTAGCTTTGCAGAAGCCAGGCAGCCAATAAAATTCAGGTGTACAGAAGAGTCACTATACACACCCTCCCCCCATCCACTTAATCGATTATGGTTGGCTAGATTTACTGCTTGTGTGTTCTCAGATCGCAGCCTAATACGCATCGTCTCTTTTTGAAATTGTATTTTGGCTGAAAAAAAAAGATTTTCGACGTTGGAACAGCCCTAGTGTAGGCTCTGTAGTTAGCGACCTTCTCTAGTGGGCGGATTTGTGCTAAGGTATCTAATATTTCCCCACGTCGATGAACAAATTTAATTTACCCGCAAAAAAATGGCTGATTCGTTCTATGAGCTCGGCTGCGGCATATTGCGCACATCAAGTAACCAACAAATGCGCGCATGCATCTTCTGCCCCTAACTGGCGGTTCAATGGTTAGACAACGCGGTCTTCAACTGGTTCTCATGCGATCCAAGTCAGCACATTACGCTCGACGAATATAAATACTCGCCACCACATCAACGGTCTCATTATCTTAAGCAGTCATGCCATCATATACAATTCAAGACAAGAAGAATGACAAGAAGAAGGAGAAGAACACGCTTGGGCATGCTATCCTGCGTGGATACGTGCCGATACCCAACGGACAGGAGGTCACTATTGAAGCTGCTATTGAGGCCATCGAGGCTCCCTCAAAGAAATCCATAGAGATACCCTATAAATGCAAGGTTTTCGACTCAGTCACTTACCTGGTGGTGAGGCGAAAAGACGTGGTCGACACTGCCATACCCTGGAAACTGCGCATCCCCTACCTAGAAATCTATCGTTACTTAATATTCGCCCGCGATCCCTGCCTTGTAGTCCTGGTGATTCCGGAGAAGGCTAGCGAAAATTGGGCCTACCTGATATTGTCCATGGAAACACCGGCACAGGCATCGGCCATCTGTGACGCCATCCAGAAGAGGAGGCAAGACAAGTTTGGCGACCGCAACGCAGCTGACAAAGGGATCACCCCGCAAATAGATGAAGCTACATGTGTCGACAGCATTTTGAACTCTTCATCTGAGCTCAGACGCGCCAGAAACAATAACGCCTTACAGCGGGAGGCTCCAAGCCCTACCATTGTGCAGCAAACATGGGTGGAAGCTCAATGACCCGCACCTCTCCTCACTGACTGTGGAACCGAATATGGCACTTAACGTGTCAATGGGGAAAAACCCACCACAGTTGAGACAATCTTCAGAAAAATTTAACTGCCTTAGTTAAAATCTGTTCAAAGTATGTGTGGGTCCGCCGAGTTGGGAAGGCAGAGAACAAAATATGAAACTTCTTTTCAGAGTCCAATTCTCAATTCTGCCGACGACAGAAGAGCAAGCTGCAGAGGAGAACAAGCTGCCAACAGGGACACTGAGAAGTTGAGGTACACGCACAGAAGCTGATGTACATACGGAGACTGTAAAAGTAAATTGTTCTCTGCTATCTTGTCTGTCTTCTCTTCCAAACATACAACTGGGGGACATAAGAAGTGGCAACGCAGGTGCTCACACAAGGTTTGAACAAATACTCACCTCGTTTGACGTTTTTCGTCCAGTTCGCACAGATAATTATCCGGCTTCGTTTGTTCGCCCTACAATGAGGATGTTCAGATTTTTAATTTCCTTAAAAATTACTCACTTTCCGCTGTACACATCCCTACACTTAAGGTAAATCGGCAGCAGAATACGGGCGAAAAACGCGTTTGGGCCTTTTATCTAGTGCCTGGGCTGTTAGTATAGTAAGTTGCAACATCAATTTATATGCATATATATCTATATATAGCAGTAAGGGGGTATGACAGCATTTGGGGGTAACTTGATACAGA